TGCTGCAGTTTCAGGACCCTCAGCTCACCGGCGGCTCTTCCTTCCTTCATTCCGCCATCGACCCTGTTCTGCGGCACCTTCTGTTCTGCGGATCTTCCATCAGCCTTCATTCGCTTGGAGATCGCAGGGGGCGAATTGGTACCACTTGACGAACACTGGCGAGGGCTGCTACTGCGGGCTGTTCCCCTGGACCTCTTCCTCTGACTTCTCACTTCTGGTCGGGATGATCTGGCCCGGAGGACCAGAAAATGTTGCAGACTCTCTTCAACTTGACTCAGTGCATGACTGTATAGCTGTGTGTGTGCTGACGTCTTGCATCATTTAATGTGGCCAACAGGGCCTGACGAGATATACTGGGGCCCCCTGGACGAGTCCGCCTTCAAGTGGTGGGGGGTGTGGTCGCCTGCGACCGCCGTCTGCGGTGGACAGCCGTGGACGGAACGCCAAACGGACTCAACTTGCCTCTCTTCCTCTGCGCGCGGCCACTGCCATGGTGGCACGTACTCCATCTACCGACTCTTCCTCGCCGAGGGTCGTCCGTCGCCTGGGCAGCGCTCAATGCCCCCGCGGGCCTGGGAGCCGCGCTCGCAGCGCGGCCCCGGCCCGCTGAGTGATTAGCGCGCCGGCCGCGCCCCCCTCCGTCGCCGGAGGAGGGAGCACCGACGGGGTGGGGACTGGCAGTAGGCGCCGCCTCAAGAATCGCCGCTACCGCAAGAATCGGGCCAGGAGAAGCCACGTGACGCTTGTCTCATGGAATGCCGAAGGTTTGCGCACCAAGGTGCAAGAACTGGGAGGCTGGCTTTCCGCGATTAAAGCAGATGTGGCGGCCATTCAAGAGGCTCAGCTGCCGAAGGCGGTGCCGAGCATACCAGGGTTCCAGCCCCCCGTCGTAGTGCGCAGGGCGCGCGGAAGACAGACCGGCGCGGTGTCGGCGAAGGGAGGAGACGTCGCAGTGTATGTCCGAGCTGGACTGCACTTCTCACCTCTCTCCGACCGGTACCTGGCGGCAGCGGACGACACCACGGAGCTCTGTGGAGTCCGTCTGCTAGGACCGCAGACACTGGATGTGCTCAACATCTACAGACCGCCCATCCGGGCGACGGGTGACGACCGTGAGGACCGTTTCGACCCGCGATGCCTCCCCAACAACAGCAAGACCATCATCATCGGCGACATCAACGGCCATCACCCCAGTTGGGACAGGGCCTGCGAAGCGGCCGACGCGGTGGGGGAGAGGATGGCTGACTGGATGGAAGCGGAGGGATGGGTCCCGCTCAACAGCGGAGAACCCACCTTCGCGAGCTACCGATCAGGTGCTCAGACGGCCCCAGACCTCGCCGCGTGCAGTGCCCCCCTGGCCCGCAGGGCAGTGTGGTCTCTCGGCCCTGACCTTGGGAGCGACCACCTTCCCATGGTGGTGGAGGTGAGGTCCGAGACGGCGCCCCCCAGGAGGGTCCGCAAGACCAAGTGGGCGTTCCATAAGGCGGAGTGGCAGGCGTTCGCGGCCGACTGCGAGCAGTCGCTGGCCGAACTGGAGCCGGACCTGACGACTCAGGTATTGGCGGACCGGTTCGAGTCGGCGCTGCAACGGGCTGCAGTGCGCCACATCCCGCGAGGCGCCAGGGCGGATCCTCGCCCGTGGGCCTTGGACCCCGACCTCCAGGAGGCGATCATAGAACGGCGCGCGGCGCGCGCGGCCCTGCGCGATGGTGACACACCGTCCCGGGAGCGCTGGATCGCGGCCAAGCGACGCGCGGCCGAACTGGAGAAGAAGGCCACCATCGCACACTTCAAGGACTTCGTCTCCACCACCTTGAACAGGCCAGCCAACGTCGGCAGGGTCCACAAGACGCTGAAGAAGTGGGAGCGATGTTGTGACGATGAGCCCAGGGACGGCCAAGCGATGCTGAAGGGAGACCGCCTCATCGTAACTGACCGCGATAAGGCAGAGGCCTTCGTCCAAGAGTATGCGAGGGTCTCGAAGCAGGTGCGCATACCGAAGCTGGACCGCGATACCAAGAGGCAGCTTCGGAAAGAACACCGCTCCTGCCGCGGGTGCGGCGATCGACGAGAAGGAGCATGCGGTCCCTTCAGCCTGCAGGACCTGGTCAGAGAGCTCAGCGGACTCCAGCTCAAGAAGGCCCCCGGACCAGACGGCATCTCGAACGAGATGCTCCGACATCTAGGACCGGTGGCTCGCAAGGTCCTGCTGACCATCATCAACATGTCGTGGCGGACCGCAGAGGTCCCCAGGCAGTGGCGACAAGCGACGGTGGTCCCCATCCCCAAGGCGGGGAAGGACAAGCGACTCACCGCGAGCTACCGCCCCATCGCTCTGACCTCGCACGTCGGCAAGCTGGCTGAGCGACTCATCAAGCGACGTCTCACCTTCCTGGCCGAGTCCCGCGGACTGGTCCCACCGGAGCAGGTCGGCTTCAGGGCTGGCCGATCGGTCGAGGATAGCATCGCCAGGCTCGTCCAGCAGGTGCAAGACGGATGGAATCGGCCCAAGTCCAGACGTGCAGACCCACCAGAAGGCACCACCGCCCAGAAGTACGTGCTGGTCGCGTATGACTTCGCGCGCGCCTATGACGTGGTGGACCATCGCCTCCTACGTCTGAGACTGCTAGAGCTGGGACTCCCGCGCTGCATGGTGCAGTGGACGTGGCAGTGGCTCCGAGACCGGCAAGTCGCCGTCGAGGTGAACGGAGCGAAGAGTGGCGAACGGGTGTTTCGGGCGGGCCTACCGCAAGGTAGCGTCCTGTCCCCGCTCTTGTTCTTGTTGTGGGCGGCACCCCTCGCACACTCCCTCAAGGCCATCCAAGGATGTACACCGTACATGTACGCCGACGACACTGCAACCCTGTGCGCGGGTGCGAGTATCGAGACGGCCAGACACCGAGCCCAGCAAGCCGCTGACACGCTGACAAGATGGGCCAGGACATCAAAGATGGTCGTCTCGGGAGAGAAAACCCAGGTCCTGGTGCTCTCGCAGTGGCCGAAGGACGCAGTGGACCTGTCCATCAGGGTGGCTGGAGCGAGAGTTGAGGCCCGCGAGACTCTCAACCTGCTCGGAGTAACGCTGGATCGCCTCCTCCACTTCGGCCCGCACTGCAAGAGGATGCGACAGAGAACCCGACCGAGACTGCAACACCTCAGGAGACTGACGGGCAGGGACTGGGGGCTGGAAGAGCGGCAACTCCGCATCTTGGCCAACGGCTACGTCAGAGGCGCGCTGGAGCACGCCTCCGCAGCGTGGCTACCGGCTGCGTCCCCCTCCCACGTGGAAGTACTGGAGAGGGAGATGAGGGAGGCCGCCCGCGTCATAACGGGCTGCACGCGCTCAACCCCCACCGAAGCCCTGATGGCGGAGGCAGGACTGGCTCCGGTGACGGCCCGGAAAACCACCCTGGCGGCGCGATTCCTCGCGAAGGCAAGAGCCCTCCCAGAAGAGGACCCACTACGCCGAGTAGCGGACGCGACCGTCAACCCACGGTTGAAGGCGGTGACGGGCTGGCGCACGGTGGGTCTGGAGGCCTGGCACATGGCAGGTGTCGTGGCCCCGATCGAGCCGGTGCTGCCGCCCAGCGTCGCCCCGTGGGAAGAGGCCCCCCCGGTGGTCTTTGACCTGGGGATAGGAGCCACACCCCCCTCCGGAGCGTCCGCGGAGACCCGCCGACAGGCGGCCGCCCTGCACCTGGCGTCCCTCCCCCAGTGCGCGACCTGGGCCTGGACGGACGGATCCGCCACGGGAGGAGTGCTGGACGGTGGAGCGGGCGGCTATGTCGAGTGGCCAGACGGGGAGAGCCACGAGCTCCGCGCACCAGCGGGCAAGCTCTGCTCGAGTTACCGAGCGGAGATGGTGGCACTCCGCGAGACACTAAACTACATCGGCAACCACACTGATCATGAGGAGGACCCCATCATACTGTGTACCGACTCGCAAGCAGCTCTATCTGCCCTACGGAGTGGCCCGGCCGAGCAAAGGACGCAGCTGAACCGAGCTGTCTGGGACGCTCTGGCCCGGGTGTCCGACAATGGAGAGCGGCAAGTGCGCCTACAATGGGTCCCGTCCCACTGCGGGCTGCCTGGGAATGAGATGGCCGACAGCCTAGCCAAGGAGGCGGCATCTCTCCCCCAAGAGCAGGTACCGGTGGACATGCGCACAGTGCATAGAGCAGCGGCGCGAGCGGCGGACGCTCGCACACGAGAGCAGCGACCCCCAGGCTGGTTCCGAACCCTGATGGGGACAACGCGCCCACCCACAGTGTCTGGCCTGGACCGTCTGACGGCTATCGACGTCCACCAGCTGAGAGCCGGACACTGGTCAGGGTCGCAACAATACCTACATCGCATCGGCAAGAGCCCCACACGGCAGTGCGACGCCTGCAATGAACGAGCATGCGGCGGAGCCCTCTGCCCACTCTGTAAGGAGGAAGCCGACACCCCAGATCACATTCTGTTGCGGTGCCCAGCGCAGATGGGGCTTCGGTTCCGCCTGACGGGAAGCATACACGCCCCAACCAGAGAGACTACAAGGAGCACAAGCTACATCGCGGCCGTGGCGGCCGCGCGCAGAGGGATGCTAAGCCGCGAGGCTTCGCGTCGCTAGACGCCGGGAGGACAAACAACAACAACAACAAGATATACTGGGTGTTCATTAATGAATGGAACGAAGTAGGCAGGCACCAGAAAGATATGTTTTCATCTCACGTTATCAAATAACTCAATGCATTTTCAGGAGGTTATATCATCTATGATGACATCATCGCGATCACCGCTTGCCACTTGTGTCTCCTACAGAAGGTGCTCAAAGTAACCACCTCGCCCCGCCACCCACGGCTCAGCCCGGCGCCGTGTGTGCCGTGCCATCTTCCTCAGCTGCTCCTCGCCTATGCTTCTGGCGAAGTCCTCCACGACCTTTTTCAGTTCTTTGATTGTTTCCGGCTCCGATTCCACCACGCGATCCAAAGCTTGGGGCCAGAACGAGAAATCCAGGCAGGACAGGTCGGGACTGTATGCGGTCCAGTGCAGATGGGCATAAGTTTATTTTTAGGTGGTTATTTTTCTACAGGTAGTTACATGAGTCGGTAATGCGCTCTTATTTCGCATTAGCGGTGAATCCGTTCCTAATACGTGTTTGCTTTGCTCATGTAACCCCGGTCCCTGTCACACCGACCCGAATCTGGGTCGGGTGATCTACCAGCCGCGGATGTAAAGAAGCAAGCTTTCTTAACGTCTGGTGGAGCAAACTGAGGGGCTACAAACTAATACAAAAGCATGGGTTGGATGGGGTACCATTTCTGTTCTTTTCTTTTTTTCTTTTTTTTTGGTGATCTTCAGCGTGCCAGGGCTGTGACTAAAAATAAGTGGCCTTAATCCGATGAGAAAGCACGAATTTGGGATACCCTAGGTTTGACCCCTCTAGTCGGTGCCCCCCATTGTCTCCAATCATTCCACCGCCTATGATGACCGGGTCACCTCTGCATAACGGCTGGTCGCTGGAGGAGCGTGCTGCCGCCCCGACGGCGACCTCCTTGGTCCAGGGTGAGACGGTGAGAACCAGATGGCCGTTCAGACGTCGGCTGCAGGGAAAGAATGACGTGTAGGATTGAAAGTTGAAGGGTTCAGTGAGACGGTATAATGCATGTTGGAGAGTGATGTTCTGATAACTGACAATGGCTTAACCCTATTAGTGGCAGGCTCCTGGCTACCCCTATTAGTGGCAGGGGGGGGGGGCTGTTTACGACCCCCCCCCCCTGATATCTCGAGATCTAACTGGCCGATTTTCAAAATTCAAACGGCATTCGATTTCGCTCAACGTGATCTACATTTCTAAAAAATAAAAAATAAAAAATGTCAATAGGGGGGTAGAGGGGGTGAAAACGGGCAAATTGCAGATACATTTTAGACCGTTTAGTGTTAATCACGGCCAGGTTTCTGAACCAATCTTAACGCAACTTTTGCCGATCGATAGAGAATGAACCAGGAATTCACATGGATCCTAAAAATATGCATTTTCAAAAATCATAGGCGGATACAGATGAATTTACTAATTATTTCCCAATATTCAGCACCTAGACGCGCCTATGATTTTAGGGGAAAACATCGCTTGTAAGTGTTCACAAATACATGGTATGGTGCATTTGATCGCTTTCTGGCAATGTAACTACTACGAAACCGCTCATCAAATGGTACTGTACATTTCAGTATGAACCCCCCCCCCCTTTTGGACGCCTGGATCCGCCTATTATAGCAAAAACGTGTCAAAAGAGGGTGCACAATAACTTTGTATATGTTATCACATGATACCTTTCATTCACTGTTCGTAAAACTGGTGCATACAGTTATAATACATCAGCATCGTGATCTTCGCCCAAATGACTCGCTTCACGAATAGGAACCCCCAATTCCCAGTGCTCTGGAGCCGCCCCTGGTAAAGTTATGAACTTGAAATTTTCAGGGAATGTGCCCAATTTAGTTTTAGGAAAAGTCAGAAAATTTCAGCATCGTAGCTTCAGCGGTTTCGGATATATTCCCGAAAAACCTGAGGGGTGGATGAAAACAACCCCCCCCCCCCTGCCACTAATAGGGTTAAGGTGAGCACAAGTGCGTATTTTTGTGGTAGGTGCCGCAATATATTTATTACGTTGATTTGGGATAGCTCAGTCGTGTGATACTCCGAATGAATTTGAACGTTAGCGCGGCTGAAAGGCTCTAGAAATAACTAAAGTGTCTGAGCATGCGATAATCCTTTTCCCAGACGTGGCCGAGGGTGTAGTGAAGAGGGGACATCTTACATTGTCCATCTGTTTCTTGTGTACCTGGTCTGTGGGCTGTGGGTTTGTGTGCTAGCATTTCACTGCTGTTACATTAGCTCTTATTTTCCAGGTCTAGTGGAAAGCGTCGCCACGGCATCATCACCATGACCAGCGCAGCATCGGCGGCGGGAAGTTTTTCGCCACAGCATCAGCAACTGGATTGTGTCACACATTCGAAAGTGGTGGGTGAATTGCAAGCTGGCTCGCCACGTCATTGACTCATTGACTCATACATTAGACATACACCAGTGCATCTGGTTGGCGATGTCATTTTTGTAATTCCTCAAAGTAATTGCGAAATGCGCTTACCGCCGCGAAGTTAGCTGTTCAGTTTCAGAGAATCGATCTTGGCGATTCGCTTTTATTATAAAGACTCAGTATCTGGGTGGCGGGTAGCTAACCCAGTAAACATGCCGACGTCGGCCCGACGTCGGCCGACGTCGGGGTGACGTCGGCATCTCGGCATCGGCATGCCGACGTCGGCCCGACGTCGGCTGGATGTCGGATATGCCCGCATGTTCCGACGTCCAGCCGAGGTCCAGCCGACGTCGGGCCGACGTCGGACCGAGATCAATTGCTGAGGTCCAGCCGACGTCGGGCCGACGTCGGACCGACATCGGCCGCTGTTTTGACCGTTAAAATAATATAAAATGCATGTTTCATGTTTCATAAAGAGCTTCTGTATCCAAAATATCCTCAGGAAACTCAAATCTTCCTCCACGCCGCAACAACCTGATCCGGACTGGACGGGAAACTTTATCCCATTTGGGATTGCCCGTAAGCCGAGCTCGCCCGTAGCCGGGTGCGGTGAGTGCTTGGGGGCTGCTCGGCCTATCCTTTGGTCAGGCTCAGCCCCGGCAACTCACCAGGGCCGGGCCCAGTTCATATAGAAAGGCCAGTCGGCAAGTGTCACTTTGCCAAAGTGCCACTTATCAAAGGGACACTTTGGGAAACGTTGGTGCAGGTGTGTAAGAGTGGCTATATGAATCCATTGTTGGGTCGCCCTTTCCAATAAGTGTCACGTAACAGCAATGGGACCAGGGACTCTATATGAACTGGACCCAGGGTGCTCGCCAAGAAGACCAATGTCTCCATCCTATCATCCTTCCGGCTCTGAAATGGTCTTGTCAGACCTAAAGGGCATAACCCAACAAAACAAACTAAATTCGCTGTTTGGCTGCGTGGTGTAGTGGTTAGCGCACTAACCTCGCGTTCAAATGACACGGGGTTCGAATCCCATCGCCGACTGATGCTTTTGGCGTGTTGTCCCAGTAAACATGCCGACGTCGGCGACTGGGGGGCTCGAATCCCGCCGCCGGTTGATATTTTTGGCGCGTTGTCCCAATAAACATGCCGACGTCGGCCCCGTCGGTCCAACGACAAACGATCTCGTCAACCTCGGCAAACGACCTCGGCCCGACGTCGGCTGGACTTCGGCTGGACGTTCGAACATGCGGGCATATCCGACGTCCAGCCGATGTCGGGCCGAGGTTGAACCGACGTTGGGCCGACGTCGGGCCGAGCCTCGGCCCGACGTCGGCATGTTTACTGGATAAGTCAAAGTCGAAAGTATATTGTAGGGGAAGCCGGGGGAAGCCCGGCATAGTAAGCTCTTTTTCATTTTTATTACATACCATACGTGCTGTATAAAATGTTGATATCCTGTTAGCTAGCTAAGTTCATTGGCCGTGTCTCCCCAAAAATTCGGTTTCGTGGAATAAGTATAAGGTTGAGAAAATCGAGTTTTAAAAAAGTGTTGATTTTTATGGGGTAAGCCCGGCATAGGGGTAACGCCGGACACCTCCCCAGCGCTTTACAACGAGTTGATGAAACCATTATGTGTCTTCCAAATATTAACGGAAAGTGAAATATTAAGGTACTGATTAGCTCTGGACATCTTAGAGTTTATGTCACTACTGGTATTTTAGCTAGCGTCTACCACATATACAGTACAGAGGCCAGTTTTACCAAAAAATACCAGCCGGCCGCCGAAATAAAATATCCAGCCGAAAAAATAGACGCCACACAGCCACGAGTTTCACCAACAAAAAAGTTCCAGCCAATATCGGCCGGAAATATTTGTCGCCGGCAGTCAGCTGATATTTTAATATCGATAATGGTCAAGGAGACTGATAAATTATTTAAAACATGTTTCAATTAAAGTTAAGCGTGTTTTTTAATGCAAATACAACAAAGATTTAGAAATATTATTATTGGAATACATAACATATATTTTTAAGAGTTGTAACCACAAAATAGACCATAATAAACTTGCCAATACAAGACCACCAAATTGTAAATCTACGTCATTTATGACGGTCACGATAGGAAGCGTGCGTTTTAGTGGATCTTTTTTTTTCCTGTCAGCCTATTATATTTCATTTTTACAATACCTTTAACTTGCAATTAACCTTTTTGTCTGCTTTTAGTCGCACCTTGTAGAAAATAATCGTGTCGAACGTGCACGCAATGTATGGACCCCCACTCCCACCTTTTATGAGGTGGGGACTATAATAGATGGGACCCGCTCCCGACGGATCCGGGAGTCGCATCTCTTTCCTAGATGTCAAAAGAGTGGGGAAGAAGCGGCAAACATTGTTCCCAGAGGCGCCACCTGAAGCTGGACGGACAGTTCCGCTGCCGAGCGAGTGAACTGCGGTGCTGCGAGGCGGCTTCGCGCGCACTGCATTACACCTACTTCTAGGACCAAGAGGGCTAAGGATTCGCCAAGGCCTATATAAAGCCTTGTGCCAAGGCGAGTGTCATACCTCAGGAAGATACCTACCCAGATTAACTGCACCGCGGTCATTGCAGGGCTGAGGGCGGTCGTTCGCCCCACTTCGGCGAGGTGGAGGTCATGCTGCCCGGCTAGGTGGTTTCAGCCGATATGCAGGCCCCGTTTGCCGGGCCCGGTCAAGACGAAGGAACGCCACACAGCAAACAATATAAGCTCCGGCCCCGCTACACTGGTCCGGCTCGTAACAATACCTGCGCTAGCTTCGTCGACCGTCGTTCGACTGCGCCCAGTACCGCTCAGTGGAGAGTCCTGCCGAACTCATCCACGTGTGCCGAGATCATTCGTTGCGCACGGACACAATCGTCCGACGGAGACCGCTTTACATGATGATCGCGTGGTGACCACCTTTTCGCCGGCTTCCACGCCCAGTCGAGCCGTCTGGCTACGCCCCAACCAAATGATCGTTCTAAGCCTTTCGACTGGTTTGCAAAACTCGGGTCTAATATCGAAGTATTTGGGAGTTAGGACACGTTAAATCCGTGTTCATGAACAAATATACATTATGCAACTAAAAACGCCTTACTTACTTTAACTTTTCTAGGCTGATGACAAGGTAAACACCTATTCATTGTAATATTTCTAAAATGTAAATAAATCATGAGCGATGAGCGTAAAAAGGTGAAAAAAGCGATCAACTAGAAGCTAGTGTGGAAATCCACTGACGTAGGTCGCCTCGTGCTGGCGCAGCTCGTACAGCGGCACCGGCGTCTCCCGCACCCGGCCGTCCGCCTTGCCCGCCTGCGCCATCAGCCGCTGGAAATGGCTGCGCTGCCGCTCAAACATTAGCGTGACCGCCCGGCCGGCCCGGCTGACGCGCGCCGTCCGACGCACGCAGTGTGCCTTCAACAGCGCCGGGATGTCGTACGACACGACCGCGTCCACGGCGTCCACGTCAATACCGCGCGCCATAGCCTCGAGCACACCAGCGCGGCCATCTCAGCTAGCGCGCGCCGCCGCTGGCCCGCCGGCACTGCCCCAGGCAACTCGGCCTCGCGCGCGCCCAGCACCGACAGCGGTAGCTCCAGCTGGTGCGCCGCCTCGTTCCAGTTGACCAACACGAGCGAGCGCCGCCAGTCGGGATGTCGGAGCAAACTGTGCATCAGCAGCGGCTTCTGCGGCTGCGGCGCCACCACGTTGAACGACTCGCTCAGCTCGGCCGGCGTGGTGAACCTGCCGACGAACTGACCGGGCAGTGCGACGGCGGCGGCCGCCTAGCAGTCGCGGCTGGAACAGCGACATTCGCTCCAGCTTCTCCGGCCTCCGGGTTCTGTGACAGGGTGGCCAAGAACGGCAGCTTCTGCAGCGGCAGGTGAGGCGCGCAGACGGCGGCGGCCGTCAGCCGGCCGGCGATGCAGGGCGGCGGGCCGTGGCCGCCGCCACCCGCTCCACCGCTTTCAGCCAGCCCGTCTCGGCCATCTCGATCACCCGGTCGGCTTCGTCGATCACCAGGTAGCGCAGGTGCGCTAGCGAGAAGCCCTCGGCGCTGGTTATGTGATCCATCAGCCAGCCGGGAGTGCTCACCACGATCAGCCGGGGAGACCGGGCCGCGCGGCCCCACCGCCACCAGTTGGTGCCCCCCTCGTGCCACTGTGTCTCCACCCAGCAGCCGGACGCAGAGCGGCGTGTCGGCGTCGTACTGGCGGAACACGGCGGGCACCTGAGCGGGCAGCGCCTGTGTGGGTAGCACAGCTAGCGCGCGCACCCGGCGGCCGGCGCACCGCGGCGCCGCGCCTGCACCAGCAGCAGCGCGAGCGCCAGCGTCTTACCGCGGCCGGCCGGGGCCGAGACGCAGAGGTCGGCCGGTGGCAGCGGCGACTCTGCGGCCGCCAGCAGCTCGGGCAGCACCGTCACCTGCACCAGGAACGGCAGATTGGCCGGCGCCGGCCGCCGGTCGCCAATCGGCTGCGGGTGCGCCAGCCAGTCGGGCAGCGCACGCGGTGCACGGCCTGTCGGCTCGAGCGCTCCACCTCGTCCAGCACGGTGAAGTCGTCCGCGGCGGCGTCTCCGTCCAACTCGGAGGTGTCCTCACTGTCGTTATTGGCGACGGCGGCTGCCGCTGTGCGCTCAGTCAGGTCGGCCATCATAGCAACACTCGCCGATGATTGGCGTCATCGAAACCGTCGGACGACGGTGGATTCACCACCGTTTTTGCAGCAGAGACTGGAAAAACCTCAGCAATAAACAAGGAAAAACTTCACAACATGCCACAGCCTGCAATTGTGCATATTTTCATTATATTTCTCACATGACAGAAAATATTGGCTGCTTTATTCTAGGAACTGGCATGAAAACATAAGCAAAAATCAAGCTAAGTGAATTATTATTGTATTTCAACATGAGACTGGGAAAAAATCCTTGTCACTGTCAACATGACCAGTGTAACGGACGGGCTGCATGAACATTTCGGCGCATGATCTGAAAACTCTGTGTGCAGTAATTTCAGCGCTGAGGTGAACAACTAACATTTTGGCCGCAATTTGCCTGGTGCCTCCACAATTTAGCAAAACTAACTCACAATACTTACAGCCAGTTTTAACATGACCCCTGCATGACTCATGCATGCAACATACACATGCATTCAATATCAGCACAGTGCACACACAACAGTTATGGATTCATTTACATTTTACAACAATACTATTATTTTCTTTTCCTTCAATATCGGCAGCATGACTTGCTGAGTTGAGTGGCACAATCTTATGACAGCATTCAGCAAGTTTGTTCGGATTCGCAACCATGCAAACTTTGCACGTTTTGCTTAAAAAAGAAGCCTTTATACATTTCTTTCATGCTATTCAATTTCTTTTTTAAATTTATTGTCATTTATCTTGAAAATCTTGCCATTTTGGTCTTAGCAATGTCAATGCACCTTCCCTATTCCGCACAGCTCAAGAAGTTCCACCCAAAAGTAGTAGTGTAGTGCCATTAGTAGCTGGTGCCTTCCAATGTCAAATGTAGCTGAATATGTGAAAACAGGGACATATTTATTTAAAATCTTGAGTCCAATGAGCCTACCCTCTCTGCCTTTCCTTCCAGCATATTGATATCTTCAAGCACCTTCGATTTTCGAAAATGACCTTCCATCATTATTTTCCACTTCCGTGCGAGCAATGAACTTGTAAGCTGACCACTAGTTAATGCGCTATCATCTTGCTGTTGGGTGCTTGTAGCAAAAAAAATAATATAAAACGAAAAAAACTAACACCACAACACCAAACACCCGTCTTGTTGGTTCCTTTTGGTCCTGCCTGGTGACAAAGGCTCTTTCTTTACGCAATATCATCAGTATTCCTCTTCTAATCTTGAAGCCCAGATGCTTTACAAATTGGCCATGAATGATACTAAATTATTATATCAACTGAGAAGCGCAAATCACGATAATTAGTAACAAATGGGGCCAATTATTCCAACACGACATCAAAAAAATAGACGGGGTCGCCTGTCTATTTTTTGGGGCTGTTTTTCTACATATAATGGCGCAGATAAACACTCCATTAATGCCGCATTTGCCGTTGGTGAAACTCGTTGGCTATTTTTCTGGCTGATATTTTTTCACGCCGGCGGATATTTTTTCGCCTGGTTGGTGAAACTCGTCGGCGGGTTTTTGACAGAAAAATTGCGCCGGGCTGCTATTTTTCTGTTGGTAAAACTGGCCTCAGGTCGATGAAAATCGTGATGCAAAATTGACAAAAAATATGTACCTATTTCAAAATTCCTTAAAATTTATTTTTCTTTTTACCTTAATGCATCATATTACATATCATTCGACTCGGCTGATGAAGAAGAACACAACGACACCATTTTTGAAGCTCTAGCTTCATTGTCTGTCGCGTTATCTGCAAAAAAGTAGTTTGACCCTAGTTGACCTTAAGTGACATGACTGGCTTTGTCTATGATAACATGTTTATTTTCGAAATTTATCTTTGATCTAGGTGTAAACCAAACCTGCTCAGTACCTATTATCTCATGGAAAACAGTGGTTTAGTGGCATTGCTCTCGGTTGGGGGTAAGCTTGGCCACTCGCCCGGGGCTACCCCAATGTGCTAATTTTTATTTTAGAACAGCGATGTTCGAAAAATGTCATACTTAAAGGAAATAGTTCACTTTTAACATGGGGTTTTGAGCTGGAATAGCAGTTTCGTAGCTTGAGCTGAGACTAGCACAAATCAGGAGCTTTTACGGCTCAACGATCACCCTAGACGAAGAAATTCCATTTCTCGTTCCGAAAAGAGTGCCTTGTAGAGGAATGCGTGCCTTGCACAGGAATGCAGCCACGTCATCGTCAGCCAATCAGCGTGCTGCTTACAGCCAATGCAGTATTCGTAGGTTTGAGCTACGCAATATGATTGGTCAATGCGTAATAAGCTTCCGCGTGAAACATTATTTTACATAGAATATAGTTCGCCCTATATTAAAATAAAGAAAATAATTGTTTTTACAAAAAGGTTTTATTTTATTTCATGATTATTTTGAGCATAAAAAATCATAAATCAATAGCAAAATACTGATTTCAGGAAAGTGGACTGTTTCCTTTAAGCCAGCCTGCCTCGTCACGCCTCACTACAAACACTTAAACGGTCCTTACATAACATTCGTATAAATATTAGTACTGTATGGTATAACATTAACAGTGCAACATATCTCACTTTTTAGCTAAAAACCCTTAAAATATCATTTTTGCTCTATAACTTCAACAATATGCAATTTTTGTTAGCCTTAACTTTTTTGCTGGCGTTACCTTAGCTGCCACGCTGAAAGGACAAACAGTTGAGCATTTTATTGTGAATAATTTAGCCGGAAACGGGGTGGCCGGGCTTCCCCCGGCTTCCCCTACAGGTCTCGCGGGTTTTAGCGGTAGGTTTTGCACCTAGAAAATTTAGTGTACTTCAGGCTATATCTTCGTCGTCTTAAGCTTTTAAGTGTTGAAGATGCGATCGACTTGTTGGGTAACAAGCCGGCCATGATCGTGTAAAATGGCTTCATCGTAGATCGATTAGTTTCTGAGATATAACCGGAAATGTAAAAGTGCAAAACCTACCGCTTAATCTCGCGAGACCTGTACCTTCTGTGTAAGTGGTACATAAGTTTATAACACGTTTCATCTATGTTTCAGGCTGATAATGTCAGAAGAGACCATGAGCGCACCAATATCACGGACAAACGACGGGAGAAAAATGGGTGCTAGGGTGCAACTTGGGTGCTCCTCCCGGCAACTGCCTGCGCATCTGAGATGAAGCTGAGCTGGTGCACCTTTCAGTTTTTTTTTTTGCTTTGTTTTTTTGGGTGTTGTAGACATGTGGCGATAGAGGCAGCCCTGTCCTCCCCCCCCCCCCCGCCGTCCCTGCCCGAAAACATTGCTATCAGTGGGCGAAGAAAGCGTGGTGATAGGACGTTGGATAGTAATTCAGAGATCCCGGTGTCCCTAACGTTCATAGTGCAAATGTGCAGTACAGTGTCTATTTCTGTAATGCTGTAATACAATACGTGGTACGCATTCCTGAGTGTTTCAGTGTAACTTGCTGCGTTCATGGCGATCTTCAAACGTTGTTCTGCCTCGATCCACACAACCACGCAGACAAATTCACAAGCATAGATTGTTCTATACTTTATACACTATTCAGATTCAGACACATGTGCGTAACTGGCATGAAGTTCTTCATAAACAGTGCGCTACCTAAGCACAAGTTTAACACCAATAACATGCAAAACATGTCAATGAAAAGCTACACTGATGAGTGAGTTGACAAATCTCTTGGTCTTATTGACCCGATCGACTTGCCTCGATCTGCCTGTTGAAGTTGGGCATATCATGGCTAATAGAAACAGTGATATGGTAATAACGAAAATGGTATGGGCTGTCAATAGGTCGCACAGCGAAAACATGCATGCGCACGAATATGACGCCGAAGAGGGTCAGCAAAACGCGATATAACAGTATATGGTGTTGATACAGGTGTAAGACGCTTATTTACATTAAAGTTGTCGTCTGTCGGGCTGTTCCGTTCCATTTTAGCGAGCTGTGCTCCCGTCTGTGTTATGGTATGCTGATTCTGGCGCCCGCGGTGCGGCCGCCCGGTCGCCGGCTGTGGTACGCGGGCCGTCTCACGCGTTCAGCGGCTCCACGCCCAGATCTACCGGCGTGCTGACGGCCGGCGGAGCGGTCTCGGTGACGGGCGGCTCGGCGGCGGTCGGCTCCGGACCGCTCGTCGTGCCGACACCCAGCTGCCCGGACGGCCCGGCCGGGTCGGCCGGCGGCGGCGGCGCGGTGCCGCCCGGCCCGTCCGCCAGCGCCGGCTCCCTGACGTACGACATGGCGCGCACCTTCATCTCGGACGACTTCAGCGAGTAGTCGCCCTTCCACAGCTCCCAGATGATGCCGTGGTAGTGGTCGTTGTCACGCGGCCGCGTGTGGTACTCGCCGTTCAAGTTGGACTCGAAACAGCTGCCAGCGAAAGCAGGTAAGTGCTGAGTTATTGTTTCCCTCGTTGCGATATTAGAACTTCGCTGGTTGCCTGGTGGAGCTTCGCATTTACTTCAATATCAATATTACCATTTATAATTATCCGATAAATGAAGATTAAATTATTAATTATAAATTATATTATTATTGTTGTCCTGGAAAGTATTACCCAGTGGAGATGCCTTTACAATGCACAATGTGCAATGTTATTCCGTGGCTAGCGCCAACGCTAGCGCTAGCCACGTTGGTTCAGATTCGTCGGTTGACGTCAGATTGGTTGTAGCCCTTAGACTTGTCCGAGCGATATAGTGCGTTTAGAGCGTGTTCGCTGATAGGCTTGGATTCAGACATTTTCTTCTGACTTTTTCGAACGAAGAACATTGTTTATTTTCATATGAATACCTGAAACGCCTACATAAGACTCACTCGCTCTCACCGGCAAACCCGGCGCGACAAGACGAGGTATGGCGCTGTTCTTTACCGCTATGGTTTGCTGAAGCGAAGTTACTGATCACCTTACTTCCTTCGGCAATTAATAGAGCAATGTCTTATTTGCTATGGGCCGTACAGATGACAATAGAATGTAAGAAAATATTGTAGAATAACCGTTCAAGAATTGCATGTTTTGGGAATATCTGGTCGAAAAAATCACCCTCTCGACCGCTCTCGAGGGAGTGTCTAAAAAGCAGACGAGATTAGCAGACGAGCCCATGCTCAGTAACTACTGGACCGATTTTGATAATTCTTTCACCATTCAATAGCAGGGAACTTATATAGGTGCCGTTTTTCGTTTTTTGGTGATTGGTTCACTCTGACTGGACCAATCGGACCAAAATGGTCCAGAACCATACACCCCCTTAAAAGCAGACGAGCCCATGCTCCGAAACTACTGGACCGATTTCGATGAAACCTTCACCATTAGACGCGCCGTGGTCTGAAACGGTGCCGTTTTTGATAATTTTTTGATTGGTCCACCCTAAGTGGTCCAAATCGGTCCAAAACCCCTAAAATCTGTTGCAGACGAGCCCATGCTCCGAAACTACTGGACCGATTTCGATGAAACCTTGACCATTAGACGCGCCGTGGTGTGAAACGGTGCCGTTTTGGATAATTTTTTGATTGGTCCACCCTTAGTGGTCCAAATCGGTCCAAAACCGCTAAAATCTGTTGCAGACGAGCCCATGCTCCGAAACTACTGGACCGATTTCGATGAAACCTTCACCATTAGACGCGCCGTGGTCTGAAACGGTGCCGTTTATGATAATTTTTTGATTGGTCCACCCTGAGTGGTCCAAATCGGTCCAAAACCCCTAAAATATGTTGCAGACGAGCCCATGCTCCGAAACTACTGGGCCGATTTCGATGAAACCTTCACCATTCGACGCACCGTGGTGTAAAACGGTGCCGTTTTTGATAATTTTTTGATTGGTCCACCCTAAGTGGTCCAAATCGGTCCAAAACCGCTAAGATCTGTTGCAGACGAGCCCATGCTCCGAAACTACTGGGCCGATTTCGATGAAACCTTCACCATTCGATGCACCGTGGTGTAAAACGGTGCCGTTTTCGATAATTTTTATTGGTTCACCCTAAGTGGTCCAAATCGGTCCAAAACCGCTAAAATCTGTTGCAGACGAGCCCATGCTCCGAAACTACTGGACCGATTTCGATGAAACCTTCACCATTAGACGCGCCGTGGTCTGAAACGGTGCCGTTTATGATAATTTTTTGATTGGTCCACCCTGAGTGGTCCAAATCGGTCCAAAACCCCTAAAATATGTTGCAGACGAGCCCATGCTCCGAAACTACTGGGCCGATTTCGATGAAACCTTCACCATTCGACGCACCGTGGTGTAAAACGGTGCCGTTTTTGATAATTTTTTGATTGGTCCACCCTTAGTGGTCCAAATCGGTCCAAAACCGCTAAGATCTGTTGCAGACGAGCCCATGCTCCGAAACTACTGGGCCGATTTCGATGAAACCTTCACCATTCGACGCACCGTGGTGTAAAACGGTGCCGTTTTCGATAATTTTTTATTGGTTCACCCTAAGTGGTCCAAATCGGTCCAAAACCGCTAAGATCTGTTGCAGACGAGCCCATGCTCCGAAACTACTGGGCCGATTTCGATGAAACCTTCACCATTCGACGCACCGTGGTGTAAAACGGTGCCGCTTTTGGATAATTTTTTATTGGTTCACCCTAAGTGGTCCAAATCGGTCCAAAACCCCTAAAAACTGTTGCAGACGAGCCCATGTTCCGAAACTACTGGACCGATTTGGATGAAACCTTCACCATTCGACGCGCTGTGGTCTGTAACGGTGCCGCTTTTGGATAATTTTTTGATTGGTCCACCCTAAGTGGTCTAAATCGGTTCAAGTACAGCCCAAAAATACGTTTTCATGTAGTCAATTGATGAGCTGGTTTCCGCAGCGCGGAGGTGCCCCAGGCCCAATTAGCATGCATTTTTGCTCTAGTTTGGAAAGCAAAATGCATGACAATGGGTTTGGGGCACCTCTGTGCTGCAGAAATCTATCCGGACTCTGTCAAAGTACAAACGGGTTTTAGGCATTTTGGACCGATTTCGACCACTTAGGGTGGACCAATCAAAAAATTATTTAAAACGGCACCGTTTCAGACCACGGCGCGTCTAATGGTGAAGGTTTCATCGAAATTGGTCCAGTAGTTTCGGAGCATGGGCTCGTCTGCAACAGATTTTAGGGGTTTTGGACCGATTTGGACCACTTAGGGTGGACCAATCAAAAAATTATCAAAAACGGCACCGTTTCAGACCACGGCGCGTCTAATGGTGAAGGTTTCATCGAAATCGGTCCAGTAGTTTCGGAGCATGGGCTGGTCTGCAACAGATTTCAGGGGTTTTGGACCGATTTGGACCACTTAGGGTGGACCAATCGAAAAATTATCAAAAACGGCACCGTTTCAGACCACGGCGCGTCTAATAGTGAAGATTTCATCGAAATCGGTCCAGTAGTTTCGGAGCATGGGCTCGTCTGCAACAGATTTTAGGGGTTTTGGACCGATTTGGACCACTAAGGGTGGACCAATCAAAAAATTATCTTAAACGGCACCGTTTCAGACCACGGCGCGTCTAATGGTGAAGGTTTCATCGAAATCGGTCCAGTAGTTTCGGAGCATGGGCTCGTCTGCAACAGATTTTAGCGGTTTTGGACCGATTTGGACCACTAAGGGTGGACCAATCAAAAAATTATCAAAAACGGCACCGTTTCAGACCACGGCGCGTCTAATGGTGAAGGTTTCATCGAAATCGGTCCAGTAGTTTCGGAGCATGGGCTCGTCTGCAACAGATTTTAGTGGTTTTGGACCGATTTGGACCACTTAGGGTGGACCAATCAAAAAATTATCAAAAACGGCACCGTTTCAGACCACGGCGCGTCTAATGGTGAAGGTTTCATCGAAATCGGTCCAGTAGTTTCGGAGCATGGGCTCGTCTGCAACAGATTTTAGCGGTTTTGGACCGATTTGGACCACTTAGGGTGGACCAATCAAAAAATTATCCAAAACGGCACCGTTTCAGACCACGGCGCGTCTAATGGTGAAGGTTTCATCGAAATCGGTCCAGTAGTTTCGGAGCATGGGCTCGTCTGCTTTTAAGGGGGTGTATGGTTCTGGACCATTTTGGTCCGATTGGTCCAGTCAGAGTGAACCAATCGCCAAAAAACGAAAAACGGCACCTATATAAGTTCCCTGCTATTGAATGGTGAAAGAATTATCAAAATCGGTCCAGTAGTTACTGAGCATGGGCTCGTCTGCTAATCTCGTCTGCTTTTTAGACACTCCCGCTCTCGACCTAGTGAGCCTAGTGAGCAAAACGCACGCGACTTGTTTAGATGTATGCCTCGCCGAGAAGTGCTGAATTTCCTCGGCGACACTAGCGACATCTAGTGACTGACTTATAGTTAACTACGGTCTACGGTGTGAATGAAAAACGAAGATGCTTGGAAAAGTCCATCAGTGGGCACTGCTCGCCGTAGTATTTTGGACAGCGGTGACCCGAGTGGAAGACACTGTTGAATACTCACCAGGAAGTAGTTGCAAAGTACCGGCTCAGCTCACAATCATTCTCCCGCGCTCGGCTCCGTGTACAAGACATAGCCGAAAGCACAACAACAAGAGGCTATACCTGGTCCTCCTATTGCTTCTGGCCGGAGATATAGAGCTGAACCCGGGGCCTAGTGCAGTGCAGAAGGAGCCCTCAGTCACAGACCTCAGTCACCTCGGGGCAGGAGATGACGATGTAATCGGGTCGAGCTGCATGGTGTGCAAGGAGCCAGCCGAACCTCTACTACTGAGATCCCGTGTCGTGACACCCACGCTAGTAAAATGTTCTGTAGCCGACTGCTTGAAGCACGCACACCTCCACTGCCTCAACGAGAGACAAGACAATAGCAAGACCTCATGGAACTGCGGCTGTCATGGCGATGGACAGCACTGCTCTCTGCCTGCCCAGCCCACCCATCGTAGCTGCATCCCCGCACTACATCCGCCTACGACGGGACCGCTGACGCAGAAGCGCGGCGACCAATCCTCGCCTGAGCGTCGGTCCTCGCCTGATCAGCCTGCACACACTGCCCGTGAGGACACCCCTGCGCAGCACCAGCCTACAGGATCATTGATGCGGACATGCGACAGCTCAGTCAATCAACAAGAGCGCTGCTCTGGGGCTGGATGTTGCTCTGGGCCTGAGCACTGCTCCCTGCCTGATCGCGGCACTCCACCCCAGCGCGGCATTTCACCAGAGAACTGCTCTAAGCCTGAAGACTGTTCTGGGCTTGAACGCTGCTCTGGACCTGAGCGCTGCACACCACCTCAGCGCGGCACTCCGCCCGAGTGTGGTATTCCGCCTGAGCGCTGCTCTGGACCTGAGCGCGGCGCTCCACCTCAGCGCGACACTCCGCCCGAGGGTGGTACTCCGCCTGAGCGCTGCTCCGGACCTGAGCGCGGCGCT